TTTGTATCAGTGAAATAGTTTGTTCTTGGAAGTGTTCCATTCTGTGTGATATTATCCTTTTCTCACATTTTGGTGTTTCGATGGTGTCAAGTACTTTATCCTTCTGCGCATCTTTTTTGTCTTCAATGTGTTTCATCTGTTCGATCTTCTGCAATTTCTTTTCGATCTTTTCAACAAACTTTTCCGTTTTCTTGACTTCCTTTTTCGAAAGAGCAGCACTCCTTTTAATCGTCTTGATCTTTTCTTCTTTCTTCTCAACTTCTCTGACCTTTTCAATGTATTTCTTTCCGTGTTTCTTGACATCTTCTACCTTCTTGCTTGAATGAACACTTCTCTTCTCTTGTTTTAACTCGCTTAATTTCTTTTCTAATTGATATGAATAGAGCAATGCCTCAATCTTATTCAACATGACTTGATCATTCAATTCCTCACGGGCATACAAAAGTGTCAATCGTTCTTTGACAAGTCGTTCTTGTTCTTTCTCAAGTTGAATGTACTTATCAACCCCATCTTCTTTCTTCGCTTCATTTAATGTTCGATTCACGACTATGCCAACAGTTCTCATTGACTCCTTTTCATCTATCGGGCCATTCTTTGACTTCTCCACTAGTAATGAGAGTGTTGTCATGTATGCCTTGTACTTCAACGAGTCGATAAAGTGGTCGACTTTGTTCTCGTAGTCATTTTCTCCTTCGTTAAAAAATGTTTTAGATTTTGTTATTGCAGCACTTTCGACTCGTTCCGCCGCAATTTTCGAATATTTGACTGCAGATGTCTCTGGCCCGGATAAACACTTCATTCTCTCTTCCGTCGGCAAATTCTCTGGAGTACCTTTTTGTAGAACGTCAATAACCTTTTCACGAAGTTCTTGAATCTCCAAATCGCCTTTCGCAAGCTGTGCCTTTAAATCGTCGTATGTCACAGCACTCGAAATTGTAAGTACAAAAAACAGTGTTATTATCTTCATTCAAATAATATGTTTTCAAGTTCTTGACTTTTGAAATAACATTTTTTATTTTGTGTTATTTGCCATTTTGAAGTATCATAATATCTATATTTATATTACTATTGAACTAATTATTATTTATAGTATTTTTAACAATATAAATATAGTATGATTGGTGAATTTTTACACAATAGATTTGACTCCATACTTTAACTTAATAATGGAATAATTAATTATAACTTACTATTTGATAATAGCTATAATTATTAATATCACAATAGTTGTTGCGACAACAAATAGAACAAAACAATATTTACAATATACCGACACAATACTGTTTTCTTGCACAATCAAAAATCTCTCAGGTGTAATAATACACTTTTTGAGTAACGGGTGTATATAGTTCTTCGTGGAGATGTAACGATTAATTCTCTTTCAAGAGATTTGCGAGACGGTCTGTGCGCAAACTGATTTTTCTTTGATTCATCTTCTTTCAAAATTAAAGAAGTATGTTTCACCACACTCATCGTTGACAATTTTGACATGATTAATTAAGATGTGAAACTCTTTTTATAATAAAGGAGTAATGATATACACCCCTGTATAATTTATACCATTTATTATAATATCGTTAACTATATTTTATTACTAATAAAACAACTACCCACTTCTTTTATATCAAATTATCAAAACCATCTCTTCGAATAGTTGGTGAATCAAAACGTATTTTTGGATTGTGTTTAATATTCCAAATTATATTTTAATAAAGAGCACCCTGGTTTTATTTGATACACATAATAATAGTACATTGTATCATTATGTTTAATACTTTGTCCTTGTTTCACTACTCACTGACAATATTCTTCCACAACCCATATTTTTACGGGTTATTGGGAATAGTAGTCGTTTTTTGTTATTTATTGATGACAAAAAGAAACTTCAAAATAAAAAAGTATTTCATGTCTTTTTTTCGATTTGTTTGCCTAAACCAATGAACAAACCTTAAAGTTCAAAAAGTTTTTAATTCTTTAACAATTATTTGGTTTCACATAATATAATTAAAGCATGACTGACAACTTTCGTGTAGTTTTATTTTATTTGAAAACAATTAGTCATAATGTTTTGAATTTAATGCGTATAATAAAAAAGAGTATTAATAAAACAATCCATTTTCATATTTTTTTAATGAGACACTCATTTTCCAACTTTATTGGTTTCAAGTTTTAGAAACAATCAATCAATAGTCAATAATTTGAAAGCAAAATGCCATTTAATTTTTACACGAAAAATGCTATTCCATTTTGATATTTAAATATCTACTAAGTAATTGAAATAAATTTATAACTCTTATGTTACTTGTTCATAATCAAACAGATATACCGACGGCTTTTGAATAAGAATAATAACAAGGGAAATAATTAAAATCATAAAACAAAAGGCGAGTACTATCACAATTATGTATTAACACATTATTAATCATGATAAAGATGTTGTCCAACTGATGTAACTTCAACACTGCTAATACATTCATGATGTCTTAAATTTCTTTCACTTAAAAAAATAGAATTACTCTTGGATTCTTTTGACTGACTTTTATAGAATTTGTATTAATTCAATTTTCTCGACTTATTTTATAAACCCAATTGAGGTCGTTATAAAGATTGAATTATACATTTAAATAGCTCAAAAAAACATTTAAATTGTTTTTTCATTGAGTTGTAGTTTGAGTCATCCACACTGTTTTCTCAATATAGAACACACAGTCAATTTATCACTTAAATTGATTTGGAATTTTTATTTTTCAAAAATAAAATGTTACAAACCATTCAAAATAGTTAAAGCAACTAAATGTTATTTTTATTTTTGAATTAGAAACTGGTATTGTTGTTTGTCTTTCATTTCATAATAAATAAATTAAACACAAATTTTTTTGTACAAATTAACACTTGTAATATCAATTTAAATTAAATAAAAAGATACTACAATCATTATCTCAAAATTGTTGTAACAAACAATTAGAAGACAATTTAATGATTTAAGTTGTTTAAACCGAAATCACATGTTATTTAAAATCTAACAACTGTCATTTTGAAACCCATTCTTTTTTTAAAAATTATCACAAAATCAATTATTAAACAAAAATGCATTTGCCGGGACTCGAACCCGGATCTCCACCTTGGAAGGGTGGAATTCTGCCCTTAGACCACAAATGCTTCTTGAAATATAATAGGTTTTACTGTTTATAACTTAAATAATGAATATTATCAAACAATAAAAAGTGAAAAAACGCCCCCCGAGGGGCTCGAAACCCCGACCTTACGGTTAAAAGCCGCACGCTCTATTGACTGAGCTAGGAAGGCACTTAGTTATATTATTATTTAGCTTTATAAATTGTAATCAATAGTTAAAATTCTTAGAATATTATTTAATTTGAAAAAAGATTTAAATTATTTTTTTCTATAATTTATAAGTAATAAATTTTAACAACTTTTAATTTTTAACATAATTTATATAAGTATTATTATTAACTAATACAAATAATTCATTGTTATTATCACTTTAAAAAAAAATGTATAATAATAATTTTGTTTATTAAAAATAAAGTTAACAAATCTTCCATAATTATTGAATAAAAATACAAAAAAGATCCTTAAAATTGAAAAGAACTAAAATATCCAAAACCATCAAAAATCTTAAACTATAAACAAATTACAAATAAACCATACTATGTAGTAATCTAAGACCATGGGAATTATCAAAAAAGTTCCAATGTATTCTTCGAGAAGTCATTTCTTTGAAGAAAAAACGCCTTCAAATTGATTCTCCTCGAATTGATTCAATAATTGAGTTCTCAACTTCAAAATCAGAGATGTCCCACACACGTCTTGTTTTGTCCACTTTACAATTTGAAGCAAAGCCAAACAGTGAAGTGACACCATTGAATACACATTTATGTTCCTTACAAGACACAACACTTTGTCTTCAAAACCTTTTAACTTTACAAGTGACTCAAATAGAAGGTGTTAAGGGTTTCATATCTGTAGTGTTAAATAGAAGTGAGGGTGTTGTTTACTATACAAAGACATCTATTATATTCCACCAATTCAATGGAATTGATCAAACCATTACCGAATCATTGTCTGATGAAAAACTCATCCTTCACCCTTCGATCGACTCCTTCATCGTTTGTATATTTCGACCATATCGATTGGATGTTATTGGATATAACAATCAATTACGTCCCGCAATGTTATCCCCAATAAAGAACTACGCATTGCACTCCTCTTTAAATTACATCTTTGCGGTCTTAACAATGGATAAGAAATTGCACCTCTTCATCCCACGAATGCCGTGTTTCTCTGTCACTTTAGACTTCCTCAAAAGTCTTCCCAAGACCTTTTCATTCACCGCCGATTTGGAGTACTTCGCGTTTTTGTATGACACGTCCGTTGTTGTGTTCCATAACGTCAATTCAAAGCAAATGACTTCAATGAAATTACATGAAGTCAACGACTTCTTCCAAGTCGCTGCAGTGTTCCAGAACTCGTCGATAACATTCAACGTGGAACATGTGAATCACATCTTCCTCTCGAAAACCTCATTACTCTGTATCTGCAAAGACTCGGTGGAAATCTTTAATATAGAAAACACACAAGAGAAGCCACTTATTAGTTCCAATATCAAGTCAGCAACTTATTTGTATTCAGGAAATTGTGGGTCGATGATGGTTCTTGAAGATAACAAAGTTGTGTGTTACATCCACAATTTGCAAGTCGAAAGTGTTTTGCGCGGAATGGTGTCTTCCGGCTTTGAATTTGGGTGGAACAAACTTGTTGAGAACAACGACGTGTTGAAGTATGCAGATCGAAAGATGGTCGAATTTGAAAATGCGATGCGCAATTTACACGTCGACGAAGCTAAGCGACTTCTTCTTGAAATGCGCGAGGATCAAATTCCAGAGATCATTCAAATGGTAGAAAAATATTACGACTCGGGGGTTGAGAAGAAAATGTATTATCGAGATCTCTCGATGATTTCCGAGATTGGGCTGCAATGTGTTGTGAAATACATTCATAACAAGAGCCCGGAATTCATTTCGAAAACTTCAGCGATGCAAAGGAAGTATGTTGAAGCCATACTATTGCAAGAGGATATGGTGATGAAGCTCGAGAACGTCAAAATGGTTCAACAAGAGAATTTGAGGAAATCGGGGAACTTTGGGAAGGTGATTGAAAGAGGGTGGCTTGGTCTAGTCGAGTCATTGAAGAATGGGAACTTTGCGGATATAATGAAGAAGTATGGGATGAGTCGTGAAGAAGTGAAAGAGTATGGAATGAAGTTTGTGTATCAGCTTATATTAGCGAATGATGTTCGTGCGGCGATCCATCTTCTCATTCGACTTGGATATAAAGATGTTGTGAGTGTCTTGAAAGAAGTTTTTAATAAAACGAATTGTTGTGATGTTCGCAAAGAGCTTAAAAAGATGTTAGAAATTGATTTTGAAATAACAGAAGATAAGAAGAAGTACTTCTCGGCGTGTCGAGAAGAAAAGAATGAAACAGTTTACTTCATCTGTATGAAAAACAATGTGAGGGGAGAGGAGCCTATCTATGGGGATATGTCATCAGACACAATGCAGAAATATGGGATTTCGTATAACCAGAAAATGGCAGAGAACATTGCTTCGATTGATAAAGTCGATAACATCAAAGGAAATAAACTCAGTCTTTCCATTGACACTTTTACATCAACAGAAGATGTCGAACGGTGTAAATTACTTCAAGAAGAAGGTGTTTCTGTGGATGGTGTGAATAGTTTGGAGTATTTACTCATTCATGGAGACAAAGAAGGAATCATTAATTACATCGAACGGTGCCAAACGGTTAGTAACAAAGAAGCTGTGTATTACAATCGTTTTAAATGTCCCAAAAGTGTCGAACATTTGATTAAAGTCTACTTCATGAATAACCCAACGGAAAATATATTAAAAGAAGCAGAACAAATGGGCCTTTCACATGAATTAACTCGACTTGAAATCATAGGAGGTGTCGAATCGGAAATCACTCCACGACTTCTCGAACTAGTCCAACTTGTTATCTATCTTCCTATTTTCGATTTAATAATGTCAAAACTGACAGTCGACCCTCCACAGAATTGGATGAAACAGATGTTAAAAATTGATACGTGGGACGACGAACTGGAGATCAAAGCCGTTGAGAGTAAAATTCCAATACAAATGGAAGAAGTCGAGACGTGTGAAATGAAGGAACTCTATGAAGCTTTAATGAAGACGACATATGCTCCAATGAGTGATAAGATGCCATTCCCAGTGAAAGAAATACCACAATACACACTTTCACCGTATGACATGTTATCTGATGGTCGTGTTATATCAATGTTACAATGGGACTACACATTCACAACGGAAGAACTCATGAGAATGGACTCCAACAAAGAGATGCTCGCTGCGTTTGTTATGGAACTTAAAGGAAACACGTTCACACGTGTCAACTTGATTCTTAAAGATGTCTTAAGCGACGACCCGGACTTTGCTATGGTGTCGTACGACTCTTTGGACGAAAGTGAATATAAGCACGAGGCTCTGTGTAGTCTGGAGAGAAAAGCTGTCCCATTCAACTCGGCGTCTCATTTGCGAAATTTCTTAGGAAACAAATGGGGAGAGGGGGTGTCACTCAGACAGCTTGACTTAATTAGTGAGAGTGAGAATTTGATAGGACTCTTCGAATTTGGCGACCAACACGGATACTCTATTGGACAAGTCGACAAGTCCATTCGGGACAATTGGCCGGAGACTCCAATTAAGAGTCACATCATCTCAATCGACAGTGAAATAAATGACAAGAAGAGTCTTGGAGTTGTTATCGAAGGGTTTTCAAATGAGACGGAGAGTGGCGTGAATTACATGAATTGGGTATTCATAGACAAAAGCGACTCGGAACAATCTCTTTTGAGATATTTAGAGAGCATTATTGCTGGGAAAACACTTAAAAGTGCTGGACAATACACAAATTTAGAGAGAAGCTCAATTGAAGGCAATTTACTTAAAGCAATTGCAACTCTCCTTTCAGACAATTTCTCGTGTGAGAATGTCATCCAAGGACTCTATTTCTTCGATCCAACTAATCCACTCATTCCATTCATGAAAATATTAAAAGGTGTTTCTGTCGCGTTGTTTGGACAAATGAACGATTTAAGACGAGATTTTGAGAACGCGTTTAAGAGGACTTGGGGTATTGGGTCCGACGAATTTTTAGTTCAAGTGATGTTAAGTTCTGTTGAACAATTTTGTGAGTCATTCAGCAAATTGAGTGATAGTGTGATGCGACTCGTTAAAGAGCTTGAGCAGATTGCGAACTTACCTGCAGTTGTGAAGAGATGTCTCCAGAACAAAAAGGCGATTATAGAAGTCATTGAAAAACACAATTTATCAAACAAACTGACGTGTTTGAGTAAGAATGAGGAAGTGGTAAATCTATTAATAGAGACCGGCTCATATGTCGATGCACACGATTTTGCTATGAAATTTGTACCGGACAATATGTTTCTTCCTGTCATTGCTGAGATATCGATGGAGCTTAAGAAGCGCAATTGGAGTGAAGATGAGAAGTGGGAAAAGATCGACCAAATTGTTCAAAAGCGTCAGAGTCGCCCGATAGATGCTGGCGAGTATTACTACAAAGAAGCCGTCAAATTACATGATAAAGAAGACTATGAAACCAATTACCAAACCATTGCGAATAGAGTACTCACTGTATTACAATTGAGCAAAGACTGGTTCACAAAAATGGTAGAAAAGGACGCGATGGAAGGACTTAAAAAAGTTGAGAAGATGCGGCACATCTACGAAGAGAGTAAGATGCGGAATATAGCTGCTGTGTCTATAGAGAAGCCAAAAGAGTCATCTGTGTATTATTTGACGAACAGAGGGGATTACACTCCAGCGATGTTAATGAATGAAAAACTGAATTGTCCTGAGATGAGGGTTTTCAAACAAGTCTATGAGTTTGTTGTGAATGAAAACAATTACTCGATGACGTTGACGGAGGGTTTGGAACACTTAGATGTCTTAGTCAAAGGGGCACTTAAAATCGCGCGAGGCCTTGAATTAATGAAAATGCGGTATACTGTGATCCATAAGTATTACGAAGAGAAGTTGACTATTTTAGCCCTTCTTCGAGATTCATCTGCTTTTGCTTCAAAACGACTTGACGTGTTATCGGCCATATGTGGTGTACAAACGCTCAAGAAGTATTCAATTAAATTAACGCATTGGCCTGTCATCTTTGAAGAAGCCAAGAAATTCATAGAGTGGGAGGGCTTGACGGATGAAGAGATCGTACCACTCATGTGTAAAATATATATAGATGTTGCCGAAGATGTGAAACCAATTAGTATCAATGGGTATCCATCAAACATCATAAAATCATTCTTAGGACTTCTTAAAGACCCAACACGCATAGTTGAACTTCTATTGAGTCATTGTGAATTGTCGAACGATTACTTTGTTGTGATGGAGTGTTTTGCGTGCTGTTACTTTGCGGGTGAGATGACGACGCACTCAGAAGTCGTCAAAACGACGATTGAAACGATATACAAAGTGATTGATCAACTTCTTCTTCCACAAAACATTTCGTCACTCCTTCGATTTGCAGTGAAGACAAAGACTCTGCCCGAGTTTGTGATTAAACAAGACGAAGAGTGTGTCAGTCTACCAAAGATGTTACTTCAAAGAGTTTTTAATAACAACATTGACCATCAACAAGTCATCCCATCCATCGAAGAGAAGTCATGTTTTGAGAATTTGATATATTATATATCCGACTTGAATGAAGTCCAAAAAACTCCCAACTTGGACTTCCATTCAAATTACGAAGAGGTTTTCTCTGATTGTTACACTGTGCTTAACACATCGATGGAGGGGGGAATGTTTTACTTTGAAAAGGCAAAGAAAGTAGTGACGGAGTTCATCAATGAAATGACAAATGTGACTAAGACGACACCTCCAATATATATGTGGTATGCACAGTTCGTAGAGGCTTTAAAAGGGTTTGCACGAGCAATTGGTTTCTTTAGAAACCAAGAGGAATATTACTGGGCAAATCAATGTGTCAATTACATCGGAATTTTGTCGCTGCAGATCTACTTCGACAACGTCCAATTGATCGGCTTGACTCAAGACAAAGCACAACACCAACTCGTGTATTTCTCTTCTTTCGACGACGCTTACATGTTCGCCACTTTCTATAATTTGTTCGAACCACTGAAATGGTCAAAAGCACTGTACCATCAATGCATCACATCGAACAACTTAACTTATTTGAACGCTTGGCTCAACGCCTTTACCTTAGATAAACCCACTCTCACTGACATTTTGGAACAACGTGAACGTGACGAGAAGAGCTCACCAAAACGTAAAGATGTACAACAATGGGACGTCTTTCTTTCAAAAATTCGTTCAGTCAGCCCTTCTTTACTTTACTTCTGTCAGTCTCGTCCTCTGACCAAAACACTCACCTCAGAGCTCAAAATCGCAATTAATGCTGCATTTAAACGCTCAAAAAAGTAATTTACTATTTTATTCCTATTACTATATTATTATATTACTATTATATTACTATTATATTACTATTATATTATTATTATATTACTATATTATTGGTTCAATATAATATTAGAGATATGCCACGTGTCTCTCAAGATTAGACGCCATTTGAATCAAACAAAAAATTCACTTATATTCTCTGAGTTTGTTTAACACGCCCAATCAGTTCATCTTCCTCTTTTTCTCTCTCTCGAACTTTTCAATCCACTTGTTATCTTCTTCCTTTAATTCTGGAAAGTCGTCGATAGTCATACCCCATCGAAAATCATAATACGGCACTCTTCTATACAACGGAAATTGTCGTTTCCTTCCAAATGTATTTTGGCCATAAAGGACTCTTCTCGCACTCTGGTATTGATCAATAAACGTTTCAAGTTTCTTCCCTTGAAAGACTGTCGTCTTCTCATTATTTGGGTTCTTTTCTATGTCGTAACACTCATTTCCGCTCTCGCTTGATGTTTTGACTATATTCAATTCTTTCGAATATGTATTTTCTGAAGCGCTTTCTTCCGAAGTAACTGTCTCCATCGACTTCTCCACACTCTTTTTTGGTTTTTTCTTTTCTGGTGTTGGGACATATGGGGTGAACGTAGATTTCAATTTACTCGCACTTGATTCTTCCTTCAAACTTTTCAAGCTTTTTGAGCTTTTCAATTTCCTTGGCTTCTTCTCCGTTTTTACTTCTTTTGTTCCTTTTGTTGTTACTTTCTTCTCTGGTTTACTGATAATTTTCTCACTCTTCAACTTCTCCTCCAACTTGTCGACTTTCTCTTCTTCACTCCCAACGTCTTCAGACTCTTTAAGGCTCTCCTTCACCTTTCTCCCAACTTTTGTTATCTTCCCACTTTTGTCCTTTTTGATTAACTTCGTTTCTTTCTTCTCAAGTTTCTCTTTCTTATCTTCTTTCCTATCTTCCTTCTTTTCTTCTTGTGTTTTGGGTTTCTTCTCCGTTTGGAGTTCTTCTGTGACTTTCTTTTGACTCTCCCCCTTCTTGTCTTGTCGCGTTTCTATAACAACGGCGTTGTCATTCTTAATCTCAGATATTTCACTTATGAGTGGCGTTTTAACCTTTTCTGTAGTCTTCGGTTGTTCCTTCTTCAAATCCATCAAGACCTTTCCCGCCTTTTTCTTCGTGATCGGTGCATCCTCCCACTCTTCGTCCCGTTTAATTTCCGAGAGTGTTGAGAGTAAGCTCTCTCCTTTCGGCGTGTCCTTCATCTTTTTCTTCTCTTCAAAATCATTTTCTACCATCGCCAAAATACTTTGTTTCTCGTCTTCCTTCAGCTTTTTCATCGAATTTTTCCCACTCAGTAATTGTTTTTTCTTCTCCACCGTTTTTAACAGTTTTTTCGGTTCTTTCTTGTTCGACACAGTTGTCCCCTTTTTCTCCTTCCCTTTCTCTTTTGCCTTCTCCATTGTTTCTGCACGAGGAGTCGGTTTCTTCTCCTCTTTTTTCGCTAATTTGATCGCTTTAATTTTCTGTGATGGATTCTTCGATACCCCACTCACCAGTTCATCAACTTGACTCAACTGTTTCTTAATAATATCTTCCATTGTATCCATTTGAATATCATTATTCTCAACAATATCGTTGTTCTCAATCGCAAAGTTGTTCATCACCTCTTCGTCCATTTTAATGTCTTCTTTCCTCTCTTTTGGTATCTCCACCACCTCGACCATTGGTATCTCCTTCTTCACTTCAGCAAGTTGACTCGATGGAATGGTTTTATCAGACTCAACCACCTGTCGTTGTGGTGGTGTTTTCACATAAACATTCATTTGGTCGAATATTCCATCCACCTTCTTTTCCTCATCCACATGTTCTCGTTTGATCTCCTCCTTCACTTTACCAAGTGACTTCACCCAATTCATTCGGTCTTCTTGTTCGACGGGATTGGTCATTTCATTTCCATTCCCTTCTTTGTGGACTTTCAACTCCTCTTTCATCGCTTTCTTCTCACTCTCATCATCTACTACCATCGTAGGAACTTCACTCTTTTTCCCCACCGTTCGATTCTTCTTCGTGTATTCCGCTAAGGTCTCGATCTCCATTCCACTCACCGTCGAAGTGTTGTCCTCATATTTCACAGGCACCTGCGTCATCTTCTCATCAATTTTCATCTTCACTTCATCGCTCGACGTTGGTTGCGTCAGCTTTTTCTGCGACCCACTTTTCTTTTGCGAGTCTTTCTCCGTTGTTTGTGGACTCTTCTTCTCCATCATCTTCTCGATGTTCTCCATCCGCTTCTTCTGACTCGCTTTCTCCCCCTTTTTCTTATTCAAGTTCTTGAACAACTCTTTCACATTTTGACTCGATGGTTTCTCTTTCTCTTCGGTAAGACTTGACACGTTATTATCCACAGGAGATACCTTAGAAACATACGACAACTCCATCTTTTCAAACTCCGACAATTCTTTCTTCTCTTTGAAATCAGTTGGTTGGACGCCCTGAAACAGTCGCTGTTTCCCTACCTTTTTCGAAAGGCCTGAACTCGTTTTCTTCGAGTGCGGAGACTTCTCGTCAACAGCAGTGGGCGTTTTTTGCTTCGGCAATTTGGGCTGTGAGACTTTGACAACATCAACTTCGTCCGTTTTCGCCGTGTCGACCAATTTCGGGGAGCTGGCTTTCTTCTCCTCTGCTTCGATACTACTCAAATCAATACCACTGGAGTCCGCTTTGATTTCACTCAGTGACTCGCTCTCTTTCTTTTCGTTCGAATCAACTTTCCCTTCTTTCTCCGATTTTATTTTGTTGAGATCAATTTCGTTTTTATAGTCGTCTGATGGTTGTGAACCAGAAGTCGGTTGTGAGTTGTTGAGGGAATGTGCAGATAGTGGGGTGATGAACTTTTCGTGGTCTCTATTGCGCAAATCTGGCGCTACGTGGTGATCCAAATTTCTGATCTCATCAATTTTCCTTTCCGTTAAATTACAAATTATAGTATAAATAATGATATATTATAATAAAAACCAATTATATAATATATATCTAAGATTTTATTATAAATATATTATAACAAATATATTATACAAACTGTTGTCCAAAAAAGATGTTGTTTTGTGTTGTTTTCTTTTGAGTGCTCGATGAATCTGTTGGAAGTTGGTTGACTGGTAATTCGTCGATTTTCGTTTTGATTTCGGGAGGAAGGTCAATCGTATCAAACGTTGCTGAGCTGTCGATCTGGCTTGTCATTAAATCTCAATCACAGTTTTCATTCAGTTTTTTCTCTTTTTGATTAGTTCCACCAAATCTTTTATTAAAACAATTGTAATAATAAATATATTAGTAAAGAATAGTATTATCATCAATAGAAAAATTAATTATAAAACAAATTAAAATAAACCAGAAAATTAAACATACTTTAAATTAAGAATATTATAATACTTTTTATTATAAATAATAACTTGTTTATAAGAACTTAAAAACCACTGATGTTGTTCCTTTTACTTTCCTTAGTGTTTTCGACGCCAGTGGATATCTGCAAAGTGACACCAACACCCTACGAATCTGCACCAGTTGATTATAAGTTGAAATATGTTCAATTGATTGCACGACATGGGGACAGAACTCCATCGAATTCATACAAAGGCGACAATGGGAAGTTTACATGTGGGTATGTTGAAGAGTCACACATCTATCAAGAAACGTCTGGGAAAGTGTCACACACGGCAACGTCCAAAACATCGTTAATTGACAAAAAGAAGAATCCGTACGCTATTAATTATATGTGGGAAGGGTCTTGTGAGCCGGGGCAATTAACTCCAGAAGGGATTTCAATGCACTACAAATTAGGAGCGCACGTCCGAGAGTTATACAAATCCATATTACCAGAAGTCTTTGATCCGGAACTCATCCATTTGAGATCTTCAGGCAAAATTCGAACATTACAGAGTATGGAAGCGTTCTTGCAACGATTTTATCCAATAAAAGAAAGAGGGAAGTACACTGACTTGGAGATATTGACTCGGCCATATGAAATTGAATCGTTGAAGCCCAATAAAGATTGCTGCCCTATTATTAAAACTCTCGACACTGCTACCGCACAATCAGAGGAAGTCATTAACCTGAGAAGTAACGAAAACGTTACAAAGGCCTACAACAAGATTAAAAGAGTCACTGGAATAGCAGATGCGACTGGGGACTTGTATGACTATGTGGATATGATGGCTGCTCGCGTCTGTCACAACGAGAAATATCCATGTAATGACAATGAGTGTTTAGACGAGAGTGATTACGAGACTATATTGGATGAATACCTCATTGAAAACAAGTACTTCTATGCAGCGGGTAGTGCTAAATACAAACTTGGCTTTTTCGTTGATGAAATGCTTGCCGATGCGGAAAGTGCACTCAATGGGAAAGTGGTATACCAACACTATTCTGCTCATGATAGTTCCATTTATGGTATACTTGGCCTTTTGGGAGAAGATACAACACAGCCGATACCGTATGCTTCCACCCTTGCTTTTGAATACTTGACTAAAGATGGTGTCAACTATGTAAGAGCTTTACTCAATGATAAAGTTCTGCCCCTCCGTTTGTGTGCGAAAGAAAACAATATTTGCACCTTTGAAGAATTTGAAACTAAGCTTAAGGCGCAAGTGCCACAATATTCGGAGTGTGGCAATACACTTTCCCAACGACCAATATCTAGAAAGGGGTGGTATACTCGAAATTGATTCATTTAACTAGTAGAATTATAGTATTATCCTTAATAATACCATTTTAATACAATTCAAAAGTGTTATTTACTATTGTTTTCTCGTATTGAAAGAAGAAATGATATTATAGTTTCTAATAAAATTTCTAATAAATATAGTTTTTGTTCATTATTTTTGATTTTTCGCGTATTTGAGTGATATTTCCTGTTATATGGTCTGAAAGTGAACCTAATAACAAAACTCAAAAGACCCAATTAAAGGCAATGATAAACCCCAAATAAAATGGACATATCAGATTAACTGTAAAATCAAAATGTTCTTCGTGCTGTTGTCTATAGTTCTTGTCAAAGGGGCCGAGTTGGTGAAGCCCATATTAACGACCCCAAGTGGGGAGATGGTTATGTTCACAAAAGCGACTGATAATGAATGTTCGGAAACCCTTACTGGGTCCGAGAAATTGATTTTTGTGGCATCACATCCATTCATGTTACACTATTTGACAAAGGACTGCTCAGGGCCACGTGTTTCCGTAGATGAAATTGATAATTCGGATATCTTTGAAAGCTCACCAAAGCACATTGCTTGGTTGAACCCTCGCCCTGGGTCACATGCACAGCACGAACAAATCTATATCTCAGATGTTTGTATGCCAAACACACTTGGTGCAAGCAAATATGCCATTTCGAATAACACTTTATATTCTATACAATTCAAAAAACGCGATTGCAGTGGGGAGTCCCTGCAATCGCAGTGCGTTCACTGTGGCGGCTTGCTCGATGGAAAATACGTCCTTAGCTGCGGAACAGACGCTTTGGCTACCTTATTTGTTCTCGCATTACTGCTGTCTTTTTGACACAATAATCGACAAGAATAAAACATTCCTTGTTTTTACTTCGGTTGTTCGCCGTTTTTGCAAAGGTGTTCGTCTTTTCTTTTTAACACACTTTTTGATTGCCAAACTATACAATTTGGTTCTGGAAACCATTCTTTATTAGTTGGAGGCTTTTTGAAGAAAAACACATTTTTAATTGCTAAATCGAGGAAAAATGGCGGTATATTTGCCTTTTTCTTTTTTAAGTGACACTCTAATTTTTAAACGGAAGATGATTTTTTCTTTTTTCAATACATTACATGTAATAAACTAGAAAAAATAATTGATATTAAACTATTGCCGATATAATGACTATTTTAGATTATTATATTTTTAAAAAAATGAGGGGGAGTTTTTGTTTTTTTAAGTTTGCAATTTGTTTAAAGACTAAAATACTAAATTTATGGGATTGACGAGATATTCAAAAAAGCTTTTTTTACGGAAGATACACCTTTTTTTTCGGGTTCTTTTTTCTCCTTTTAATGTTTACTATTTTTCTAGTTTCATATATAGTAGTTCATTTTCTTGATTTTAGCTTGGAAACTTTTTTAAATAATAAGTGAGGGTAAATAATTATCGTTTTGTTAATAACAAAAAACTTTAATTATTTTGTTGTGTGATTAGTTTATTTATTAAAAAATTAATAAAAAGTGATATAAAACGATAATTTGTATCATTTTAATTCAAATTTGAACGATATTATTTTTAATAAAAGGCTTTTTAATTATTAGTGTTTTTTATACCAATTTTTCTTTTGTTGTTTTACAAAACATTTTGTAAAACATTTCACAGATAAAAACAACAAATTTTATTCCATATAATAGATTATTACAATTAATTAAAATTATAATACATTTTATAAAATAAAGCTATTCAATAGTTTTATAATTAAAATATATACAGATACAGGAAAAACCAGGGACCAAGTATTAATAAACACACTGTTTTTTTAAATAAAATAGAAAAAAAAATATTAAATATGAAACTCTTAATTAATCATTTGAGTTGTCTCATTTGTTAATGCTCAGCCGAGCCAAGATAATGTTTGTTTTTTATATTGATTTATCTCTTATTGTTGAATACGTTTAATTATCAATGATTTACTGAATGCCTAACATTCCAATAATTTGTTTATTATTTGCTTTATTTTCATTTATTGCGCGAGTCACTTTTAATGCTGAACGAAAAGTGACTTATTGAATCAACCGAGTGAATAGAGAAGACTACAATGACTTCTTTGAAAAATGGATGAACGATTTAATTGAATGGTTGTGTTGAAGTTAAACAAGGTTGAACAAAAGAATAATATTTTATAATTAAATAATAATAAATAATAATAAACTTACTATTCTAGCTCACATCAAGCTGTTGTTCATTCAACTTTAAACAACATATTCATTTTTTTATCCCGAAAAATAACTGTTTTTAATACTAAATAATAAGAAAATTATACTTTTATTTATATCTTTGCCCGTTTTATTGTATATAATCCGTTTAATATTCAATAGCTAAAATTAGTCTGGTCCCCGGTTTTTCCGCTATCTGTACACTAAATATTTTTTTATTATCGCAATTCATCAAAACCATAGTGGGACCTACATTGACCACCACCTTTACCAAAAAAAAATATTTACCGCGAGTGTTTTTTGAAGGAAGTCCACTTTTCAGCCACTGTTTGTGCGTCCCCATGTCACCCACTTTCCTTGTCCGTACTGTGTGGACGCTGATGTGGTTCCCCCCCGCTTGCGGGGGGGTCAGGGGGGGATCCGCGCCAAGGGAGGACTTGGAAAGTGGGTGAAACGGTGCACAAACAGACTGTTTGAGTGCGTCTTTATGAGCCTTCTTTTCAATGCTCCGTCTCACTCGGTTTCCACTGACTCGAGGTGAATTTTCGGCATTTTTTGAATTCGGGAACCAGACCTAATATTATCCAAGTTTCCTATTTACTATAATTTTAATTTGAATATGATTCGAAATAGAAAAAATAAATCTATTTTAAGAGGTGGTGGTGGTCAATGTAGGTCCCAAACCATAGTGAACAATTACAATAATAAACAAAGCATACAAAGACTATTCAAAATGATTAACAACAACTTTTAAAAAAATTTCAAGGACTCAAAAAGAAGGAACTAAGAAAGAAACTTATAATGACGACCAAATTGCCTTTAGTCTCTGTTGCGCTCTGTGGCGATTCTGCTGTTGGTAAAAGCTGTATGTTCAAACGTTTTATAACAGACAAATTTAACTTGAGTGAGAAGACCACTGTTTCATGCGATGTGAGTGTCAAAAAAGTCCAACATGGAGATGAATTTGTGAATCTCCAACTCGTTTGTTTTAGCATTTGCGTGTTATGACAAAACGCCATTATAATCAAAAAAATAACAATATAGTGGGACACTGCAGGCCAAGAAGCGTTCAGGAGTATGTCGCAAAGCTATTTCCGTGGTCGTCACGCAATGTGTTTTTGTTTTGACATCACTCGCAAAGAGACTTTTTCTGCTGTTCCGGGGTGGGTACGTGAATTCCAACAGAACCAAAGCACAAGTGCCAAACTCATGTTAGTTGGGTGTAAGTGTGACTTAAGTGCAAATAGACAAGTCCCTGTTGAAGAAGCCGAGAAATATGCCATAGAAAATTCCATGATGTACTGTGAATGTTCTGCAAAACAAGGGACTAATATTGAAACTATCTTTGATACTATAGTCTCTCAAGTAAGAGACTCTCAAACCCATCCTCAATCAACACAACAAGCACAAAACCCTCAAGACGATACTAAACGATTGACTCGAACTGCTTTCACTTCACGAAAACCAGCACCAAACCCTCAAATTGAGCAAGTCACTATCACTGAAGTCAAAAAGCCATTTGATTTCGCAACAGACTGCTGCTAATTTGCTTAACAAGATTTTTGTATTTTTATTTGAAATTCAACGAATGACTAATTGAAAACTCGAGAAACTATTGAACTCATAATTATAGAAAAATGGTCTTGTTTAAACTGGAGTATATGAATGATATCCGTGTCGTCGATTTGTCTACTCTGGACCTTAACTCACTTTACACCGCCTTTCAGAACAAATTCAATTTGACTAACATGCGCCTTAGACCAAGATTTCTGCTTAAATACCTCGACGCAGAGGGCGACTGGGTCACTCTTTGTGACGACGACGATCTTGTCCTTGCTCTCAAACAAGCCAATAAATACACACTAAGACTCAAATTAGTAGGTTTGATTATAATATTTTATTAATACTGTGTAATTATACAAACTCACAGACAGACAGTTATCAGACGGCAAACTCATCTTCGAATGAAGAGTGGGACCTTCGACCAATTTTTGCACAGTTGATGAACACCCCTTCCATTCAGAATAACATCTCTAAGATGGTAGAAAACATTTTATTGACAACAAACCAAGTTGTTGAAGTCAGAACAAAACCCGGTGAGGTTAAAATGCCAGACAACTTCACTGCTCATATAACTGAAACACTCCCTGCTTTGGGTGATGATGATGGTTTGTTGTGATTATACAGTTTACTATAAAAGTACAATTTGTATCAATAGAAGAAATTATTAACAAAAAGTTGTCGACGCAGATTAAGTGACTGTTCTCGTGCCTTTAATGTATCCGATAACTTTTTTGCTTATGGAGTTTTATTATTAAAAAATGTTCTTTCAAACTGGGTTACAAAAACATCTTTTTAGTCAAATAAAATTTAATTTGTGCTTCTTTATTGCCTCAAAAATTCAGTGCAAAGGGGTGTTTGGATTGTTGACTTTCCGTTATAACTTTCAACCACACTTTCTTTACAATTAATGTGTAAATATGAATTGTATTATTCATTCGGTTCGAGTTTGAACACCTTGAAACTAATATGTTTATCTAATAATAATAAATTATATACCTTTTTAGCAAACAAACTATATTAATATTAATTCTTATTATATATTGGATATAGTTAATTAAATCTTTTTTCAGTGTTTTTTATTTTTGTATTAAACATTTTGTTTAAAGTTTAATTTGCCGTTTTACAATAGAAATGATTAATAAAAATAGAACTGCCTTGTACTATATGATACTTAATAAAAACTATCGTATTATTATGACTATGTTGTCTTCCAAATACAACAATTTGAACTTAAAAATATTAAAGGATAAAAATTAGTAAAATTTTAATATTTCAATTATTAATTAACAGAGAATGTTTTTTCTTATTTGAACCATAAGACCATATTAACAACGAAAACGATAATATATAGATATTTTTATTATAATTTTTAGTTTCAAACTTCAATTATGTTGACCATGTTAAAAGTATATATTTAGCAACAAGCAACCCAGACGATAATAAAAGCCGAATTGTGATAATGTTTAAGAAAAAGATATTTGAAAATGTAATCAATTAACACTAATAATAAAACGTTGAATACACAACAGTACATTTTGTTTGAGCCGGGCTGAATGCAGATTTAAAGGTTGTTAATTTGGACCCTTTCACGTCATCAGCATAATGACTAAAAAATCGGTTTTTAATGTGATTTGCACTTCTTCCAGGTAAAAACCTTTTGATTTCAGTCCATCGATTTCCATAGACTTTTCTAGCTTCCAAGAGTGTCATGTCTTCTTGAACGGTCCAAGGCTTCTTCACGATGTTTGGGTCAAACTTATTCATAAAACGTTCTTTGCATTGTTTCTTAGTTCTTCGTTCAATAAATTGGCTTACTAGTTCCCAATTATTCGGTCCATATAAGTCAATTGCTTTCAGTAATTTTTCATCTTCCTCTTTAGTCCAAGTTAGTATTGTCTTAGTCTTTTTAAATTGAGCCTTAATGCCTTGGACGTTAGTTTGAGAGAGTAATTGTGGAAGTAGTGATTCAATGCTTGGAGTAAGTTGAAGGGTTTGGTCGGACATCTTCATATACTTAATTTCTAGCTCATTTTAAAAATACTCTAAAAAATTTTTTCTCTATTTTTATACAACTCCGTACCTTTTTTCCTTTTTATTTTGTTCTTTTCCTTCTTTTTTTTCGCTTTCGTGGTGTTTTGCTAGTGTGCATTTTACGTACAGTGCTGTACTTTTATTACATTCTTCTTTATTTATTTTGTTGAAATCTATAAAAGTATGAATGTAACTTTTTGTTATTTATTTAATGTTTCATATTTATATTATAATTATAATTATAATTATAATTTTATTTGATTATACAATAAACAAATTGTTTTGTAATTGTTATTATAGATATTTACCATATAATAAAATTTACCATATTTATAGTTAAAATAATAAATAAATAACACTTCAATAACATTTTTGTTAAACAAGTGTTTTTGAAAATGTAAATTTTTATATTCAATTAAACTATTATATTAATAAAAATGTAATTAACTACAATAAACTATTTCTTTTTCTTTTCAAGTTTGAGTAAAAACAAAAACTATAAAATCCAGATACGGAACTAATGAAAAAAAGAAAATGATGCATATTTTTAATAAATAATAAACTAATAAAAAAGTTATAAACAGACAATGAAGTCGACTGTGAACAACATCAACAAAACACAAATAAAGAAAGGGGAAAAAGTTGGCTTTGAATTGGACCTTGCCAGTATCAACACAAATGAGTGTGTTCCCGACACAACTAATTATTGCACCTCTTGCCACGGCATTTTAACCCAAAAAGGATTCTGTCAGATCTGTCGGGCCCCACACACCAAAAAACCCATAGAAATGCATCACAGTGTCTTGTTATTAAAAAAGAGTTCTGAGCCAGTGAAAGAGACTGGAAGGACGGTTGTCTTCTGTTTAGATAATTCCGGATCGATGAGTGGAAATCGTATTGAGGCGATGCGGTCGAACATCAAAAGGGGTATTGATGCAATGGTTAAGAGTGAGCCCGGTAACCGCGTGTATGTTGTAACCTTTGAGAGTGATTGTTTAATAATAGGAAACGACGAATCAAAAAACAAGCCCGTTTCATCTGATTTGTCATTTGATAGTGTAGTGAATTGTGCAAAGAGTTATCCGGATGTTCCTATCATATCTCAGGTCGATGAACAAATGAAAGAACAAGTTGATAAAATCGATGTTGGTGGGAGGACTGCGGGGTTGTCTGGGTTACTGTTGGCGGTAGTCCTTGCTGGTCGAAAACACGACGGCAAAGTGATATTTTGTACTGATGGGATGAGTAATAAAGGTATAGAATCGACAGACGAGAACATCAATAAGATCATTAAATTGACCAGAAATGTAACTGTTGATGTTCTCTACTTCAGAGACTGTGAGTCCTTTGTTGGGGCATATCGGACGATAGCAAATAAAACATCAGGGAAGGTCATGTCAATTGATTTAAAAGATTCAACGCAAAAGATGGAATTTGCTGTGAAGACACGCACCGTTGGTGAAAATGCAAAGCTTGACATTTTCACTGCACAGTGCGCCAAACAAATTAAGACGATGTCCTTCCCAAAAATATATGACTCTACTCCAATCACCTTCGAGTGTGAAATTGACAACGTTAATACTTTTAATGAACTCAATTCCTTTGTCGTCCAAGCCAAACTATCGTTCCAGGCCAAAGCTGTCGATTACATTGCAGTATTTGAAATTTCCGTCGACATCACCGAGTTCATTTCCGAGGAAAATACCTCTGTTGTGATATCCACTTCAATGAACAAAATTTATCAATTGAATGAACAACAAAAGTATGACGACGCCATTATTGAACTGAAGCGTCTGGAGAGTTTCAAGTTTGACGTGAACCAAGATGAACTCGACCAATTCAAAGGCCTGATCCCAGTCCTTATTGAATATTTCAATAACGCCAAAAAGGGTGATATAAGTGCCAAACAAAATATTACATCAGTGCTCAGTTATATGAAAGATATGAAAGCGTCAGACATTATTTCTTCACATTAAGTGACTCTTCTTTTCATGTAATTAAGAGTGTACTGTGTGAATATGTGAAATTCAAATAAAATTGTAATAAACTATTATAACTTATAGTTCAAATAGTAAAGTCGCCTAATAATCAAAGCTTCTTGAGAGGACCTCTTTGCAAGTTGGTTTCAAGTAAATGGTATGCTCGAATTGTGCGACGTACGAGTCTTTGATATCGGACAATGGTGGGTACGCATTGACACACCCATCATCGACCAGGAATTTGAATGGCAATTGCCACTTCGGAAAAGCCATATCTGCAACGTATCTTCTGCAGAATGCAAGTGTCTTGAATTTGTTGTCCATCGCATGTAACAATTTTTTAGCGTTGGAGTCTCTCACGGGGACACTGAACGCATTTTTGTCAATCATGTAATGTGAGGCGGGTCCAGAGTCTTCTACTCTTCCCTTACCAGTCGACGCAAAGGTCTCGAGAGCATAGACTTCACCTTCCTCCATCTTTGTTTGGGGACCTCCCTTACAAATGGGAATGCTTTTTCCTGCATGTACGGTGTATGAGTCAACCATATGTCCAGACAAGTTTCTGACCGGCTGCAATTGGTAAGTCTTTCCATTAATCTCGACTTCGTAACTGTTCATAACCTCTTCAATGGCATCTCCAACGTCCGCTAATCTGACGTCGACACCAATGGTCTTAATACCAGTGTTTGTAGCATCTTTGGCACAATCCAAAACGGGCTGAAGTGTTGGATCCCAGCAGACAGTGTACGCCGAGTCAATCAAATGTCCATTGTAGTGAACACCAAAGTCAACCTTTACCATATCGTTCGCCTTATATATGTTGATAGCATCTCCTGGATTTGGTGTGTAATGTGCAGCGCAGTTGTTAACAGACAGCCCAGCCGGGAAAGCCATACCGGCAACTGTAGTATCTACTCCTTCAACTTCACACATCTCTCTGACTTTTTTCTCGATGTTCTGTGCAACAAAAATATCAGAAACGCCTGGACGCATCCATTTTTGTACCCACTGTCTAACACTTTTGTGGACAGCCGCGGCCTTTCTATAGTCTTCAATGTTCACCAACTGTCTTTCCTTTTCTCTTTTCTCTGCGTCGGTGAATCTATTCAAGTTCCACTCTTGTGTGTATTGCATTATCTCACCTTCTGGGAACTTTTTCTCTTCAACATACATAGTAGAAAGCTTTTCAGTTGGTTCCTTGATATCTTCCGGTATCGTCGATGGGTCTTTATTTTTGTCCTCTACAACATGTTGCTTTTGAATCTGTTGTTGGGGCTTTTTTTGTTGAGTCTTTGCCTTTGGGCCGTCTTTTTTGGTGTTCTTTTGGTTTGTGTGTGGGTGTCCCTTCATTTGTCATTCGTAGTTCTGAGGCCAACCCTTATCTTCAAAGTTTCAGTTGACCATTCTCATTTTTGCAGCGCGATGATAAGGCATGACTCCTCACTATTTGGGATGACGTATCTCTTATTTATAACAACATGGAATTTGCCAACGTCTTTGTTCCTTCCTCATTTTACTATATTGTATAACATATTTACTATATTTATATGACAATTGTCATTGGTCCCCGAAAGCCCAGACAAAATAGAAGACTCTAATGTCAACTTTTTGTCTTTTATTATGATGACTGTTTTTAAACAAATTATTTATCTTCACTGAGGTCTAAATTCCTTAACATATTATTTTTTTATTGGTCGACAGATGGTAGTTCTAGAAAAAGTCTAAAAATGCACTCCAAATTGATCAAATTGATAATAAAAATACTATAATTTATAGTATAAAAACTAAAACCAAAAAGTAATTTAATCTGACTTGGCTCTTCTTGAGGTTCTTTCTTTTTTGAGGATAACAGAAAGCGAAATTGAAGAAACGAGTATGAAGATTGCCACAGCAAGATGGAAGAAAGCATTCTTGTCCCAGTCTCCGACCCTGAAGTGGGTTGCTTGCACAGCAACGCCACAAAGTGCAATTAAGTCGGAAACAAACATGCAGAAGTGTGCTCCCGATTTTAAGGATCTTGAGAAGTGAATGATTCCCATGAAGAACCCAAAGACAACCGCAAAAGCACCAATGCATATGAATAGGTCATATGTCCAGCACAAAATGAGGTCGAAGTAGGCTCCCAAAAGAACGAATGGTAACATAATGATGAATGTCAAAGCGCTTACTTCCCAGAAAGCTTGGAAGAAAAGGAACATGAGCGCAAATATTAAACTTGCGTATAACGCCAACCATAGTCCGCTTAAGATCTGTGCGTTGATAGTGAAAGCGTGGACAGTGAAACCAAAAACCGACCCAAATGCCATTGTGAAATGAAAAAGGATCATCAAAAATTTGCGAATGAATTGGTAGAATCCATGTGTTTTTGTTGAAAGCAATATTATTGAGGAAATCAAGCAAACACATGTGATGAGTAAATTGGTATAACCTGTCACACGTTCATTTGCTAGTGAGTTTAAGTACAATTGGTTGTTGCTCACGATACCAATAAAACCGTCAACTGAACTTTCTATTTTATCAAGCTTCGGCTCAAAAAATGGTTCTGGGTTTACTGCAATTGACACCAAATCCACAATACCACGTTGAATCTTATCCATGCGAATTCTTTTTGAGTTCGGTTATCCTAAGTTTTTTAATAAAAAGTTTTAGATGTTTTATTTTTATGGTTCAATGAAAAAAGGGAAGAAAACCAAATCTGTTAATTCATTAAAAAATATCATTAGTGTTACTAATTTAAAAAATAAATTAAAAAAATTTAAAAACAAACAAATAACAATTTGTGAAGAGAAAATATTGACAAATTTGAAAAATAACAGTAGTAAATAGATCCTGCCGATTTCGGAAACTTTCGATGTCCTCAATCCTCAGGATCTATGAAAGACATGGATTTAACGAGTTTTTAAATTCAAAGCTTTCTTTGTTTCGTTCTATTTTTCTTCCATTTCCTATAGATTAATCAGATAATTGACCAAGATTTTTTGAACAAGGATTTTCATAAATATTAGAACCAAATTTTATAAGATAGTTTTCAGAGACAACCTTACTTAAAGAATCTAAAAATATAGTTAGTAAATTACTTTTCTATCTTAGATCCGATGTAATTATATTCATTGATTGCTTTAATTACTTCATCTTTATCTAGTTTATTTGTAATTAAATAATATCTTAAGGCGGCCTTCGAGATTGTCACGACCCAAGTAATCCTAAGATCTTTTGGGTCGAATTAATTATTTTTGTTGTACATCGGTATTTAACTTTCCTCTTTACCAAATAACAAAAAAATATTTTTTAAAATTTCACAATTTTTTTTTCTGAATTTACACATTGTTGAATTGATTATATATAATCACCATTAATTTTAACATATCGTTTTATCAATTTTCATAACGAAGTTATCTACGCAATCAAACGTTCAAATAAACAAAAAAATCAAATATACAACAGTGTTGATACTATAATAATTCTCAAATTAAATATTTACTTAAATTATAGTTGTTTATTACATTGATTTTATTGTTTGTAAATAATAACTTTTGTGCAATGACTATGATATTCATAAAACAAAAATAAACGATTATCATCAAGTTCATTGTGTAACTACGTCGATGTGCACAATTTTCATTCAACAACTTTTTATTGATAATTACATATTAAAAAATTGTTATATACGATTATTTTTTTTAACTATCGTTTTTTTTTATTATTCATACAAAAACACATAATTGACATATATATTTTAGTATTACCACAACACTCATTATTATATATAATAGAAACATGTATTGATTATTAATTTCAATAATTTAATAACAACAGTTTGTGTATTAGGTTTCACTGTTAATCACAACATTTCATTTTTATAAAATGTCAAAAATAAAACGTGATAAATTTTTAGTGTGAAATCGTGTAACATCAAACCTGAACTTAAAATCGTTACACTAAAATTACTGGAATAACACAGTTTAGAACATTTTTGCTTATAACTTGCTTCTCTCTCACATATATACATAAGATATAAAAATAAATATTTTATCATCAAAAAGCAAAAGCAGACGATACAAAAATAAAAATTTGATTTCAGTTCTTTGTTGTGGTACATTAACTTAGTTGTTTCAACAAAAATGAATACACTTTAATGATTATTTTAAAAAATAATTCCATACATATTTATCTATAATAACAGTTATTTCTCTAGATCATATATAACAGTGAATTAAAACATAAATGTTTGTCTTTTGGATTTATAAAACGATGCACATATAATCTAAGTAATACACAAATATTTATTGACATTTAATTGCTTTCAAAATGAATTATATTAATATAAAATAAAAAAATATTTTTAATTAAATTGATAAAATATATTTAATCGTATCTAAGAGACAACACCAATGTAATTAAAAAAACAAATTGGTTTATTATCAACATTTTTAATTTGTTCGCATGTATATTTGATTATTTATCTTAAACAAAATTAATATAATTGTCAGTTATATTAACCAATAAATATAATTAATTTTAACGTAACATGTACAAATGGGTTGTGAACAACAAGTCATTAAAATATTTATTTACATTCTTTTCATACTATAATAATTTTGTATTTGTTTAGTTTGAAATTATATGTTTACACACTCAAAAAGTTTACATGTTTGATAAATTAATTCATTTTTACAATGAGCATGTAAAGTATATAAGTAAATCATGTTATATTAATTATCAAAATACAATCATTAAAAGTAACTGTATTATCATGTTATTATTTTACTATTCAAAAACAGTTGTGATGTCATTTTCATAATGTGCTATTTATGTGTGTAATCAGACATAATAAATTAAAAAGATAATATATATTCAATAAAGTTATTTACATGTTATTATCCACAGTGAGTTATTGGAAAATAATCATTTTTAATGAAGTTACACAATTAAAATTGTCACACCCGTTTTAAATCGAAAATATATATTCATAAATCAAAAATATGTCAAAAACAATTATTATCTTTGGTTTATGTTTACATCAAAAATTACATTTAAACATGATTGTTAATTATTTATTTATCATTCCATGTCTTGTCATATTGGTAACTGTATGTGTGAATATCAAAAACTACATTTTTAAATTGAAATACAATTGTTTAAATATGAATATTTTAAAATAACTACAGTAAAACCTCCCAAGAGCGGTACTTCTGAAGAGAGGGCATTTTTTAGACTGAAACTATAAATAGAGTTCTCTATCGAGCGGTTTTTAAGGTTTGATTGGCTAAAAATGCCCGCTCTTGAGAGAACAAAATTACCACGCCCTCCAGCTCTTGGGAGGTTTTACTGTACAATTATTTTTTTTGTTTACCAAATAATTTTTTTTGTAATCACTTTTTTAACATAAAAAATAATTAATTAATTATTTTTAATATTTATAATTATCTGACACGCATTTCAAACCTTTTGTTACCAGTTCTTAATTATTTTAAGTATGTTTTTGACTTTAAATAATTATTGTCAGCCCAAGCATTTTAATGGATCTTCAAGGTAGCCTTTAATATTGGAATAATTAAATCATTTATTACAGTAGAAAGCGTTTTAGTTTCTTTAAAAAACGGTTTTAATTCTTTACAATTCAGTTTGTTTCTTTGTCTTTTTTTTAAAATTCCAGTTTCATCTTTTTAAATTCCATTCATTCTTTTTATATTTCCATTTGTATTTTTAACAATTCTTTTTATTTCATCACTTTCCCACATTTTCAGGACACTCACACTCGTTTTTTGTCATTTCTTTCTATTTCACAAACTTTCTCAAGTGTATTTTTAAAGTTTCTTGTCTCTCAATTTTATTTCTTTTCGTTTCAAAAAATCGAAAAAAATCCAATTACGATAAAGATATAATATTTAAACAAAATAATAAATACGTATTCATATGACTCTTGAATATATTGATTCCAGAGAACAATTTGTACAATCTCAGTACATAGAAAACTCTTCCGAACCAAGGGAAGGTACTGTAGCTAATGTGGAACCAACACATCCGTTTATACCACCTCTCCAACTTACACACCAAAGAAGACCAAGAACAAGCACCAGAATGACTACTGAAAAGCGACCATATGTGAGGGTCTCTCTTAGTGCCAAAAGAAAATTAATATCCGAATTCAGAATACATGGAGATGACGAGAACCCAACATATTATTCAACTACTGTTGGGATCAATATTGTTAACATCAACAAACTACTTAGTCTACTCAGGAAAAGCAAATCAATTCTTCCAGAGAATCACTTTAAAAGAAAGTCTAGAGTTGAGCCATTTCAAAAATTAGTCACAAAAGTTTATGAATATGACCCAACACTATCAATAACCAAATCAGAAGTGTGGCTCGAACTGCAATGGAAATAGAGAACACCATAAGTATTGAACAAGTCGAAGACATCAATGAAGAAACAATTTCGGGAATTTTAAATAACACAGCGAATATACCACAAAGAAAAGAAGAAGAAACTCACCTTTTAAATGATTTCGTTCAACACATCCTCCCCTCCCAAATGAAGAAATTAGAACAATGGAACTCTGCAGGACAGAAATATGGAGTAAAACTACAACCAGAGATAATCTTTAATTGACTCATTCGGTTGTATTTTTTTGAAACGAAAAGAAATAAAATTGAGAGACAAGAAACTTTAAAAATACACTTGAGAAAGTTTGTGAAATAGAAAGAAATGACAAAAAACGAGTGTGAGTGTCCTGAAAATGTGGGAAAGTGATGAAATAAAAAGAATTGTTAAAAATACAAATGGAAATATAAAAAGAATGAATGGAATTTAAAAAGATGAAACTGGAATTTTAAAAAAAAGACAAAGAAACAAACTGAATTGTAAAGAATTAAAACCGTTTTTTAAAGAAACTAAAACGCTTTCTACTGTATCTTTTTATATTTATCTTCTAATATGTTTAGCTTATTTTTTAATTCAGATACTGAATTTCTTAATGATTCTTCATTTGACATGGTGTTTTACTCAACCATTGACATTTTTGTATTTATATTTTCATTGTTTTATCCATTTCTTTATTTAATCTCTTTTCTCCAATTCGAACTCTCTTTTTAATTAATTCTTGTTTTCCTTTATTTTTACAAAAAATATATCCTTTAATATAAATACCAGCATTAAGATCTTTAGTTTCTGGCTTATTTACTTCTGGATTATTATAAATATATCTATGAATTTCTTTAATACAATGTTTTAATTCTTCCTTATTTTCAAAATCATATTTCTTAGTTATATCTTTAACAATTTGTATATAATTAAATGACTTAGAATTTTGAGTCTTTGACATGCTATATTATTATACGTGTCAATACTTTGTTCAATCTTCGGTCTAGACACATCTTGGAACTTCGTTTCTTAAAACTTTCAGTCCGTTTGTTGTGTTCACTTAAATCTTGTATATTTGATTTACATTTTGAAGTGTTTTTTGTTTCTAAAAATTTATTTTGATTATTTAGTAAATCCATTTATTATTTAGAAAAAAATATAAAAACCACAATATGTCATATAAACTGTAGTTCAAAAGTCGGTACTGTCATATTTTTAGAACTTCCTAAAGT